GCTGATTAAATAAGGGCTGAAGATTAGACAAATGGAATTCCCAGTGCCACCGAATTTTGGATCTCTCAGGACATTATGCTGGCTATAGAAAAACTGGATGGTTTAAACAGGTGTTCATGTAGCATCACTTACCTCTGCAGTTCCCCGCTCTACCAGCTGAGCTATCGAAGGGTACAATTCATGTAGCATCAATACATAGAAATAGCCTGTCCGTGATTCTCAGCCAGGCTGCTCAATGGAGTCCCTGGGGGGCCCTGAAAACTAGACAGCAGAGATGCTCAATCACACCCTCTAGAGGGTCTTTTTAAAAATATTTTTATTTTTTAATTTTAATTTATTTTTTTGGGGGGGTGAATTAAGTTTATTTAGCTATTTATTTATTATTATTTTTTAATGGAAGCACTGGGGATTGAACCCAAGACCTCATGCATGCTAGGCATGCTCTCTACCACTGAGCTATATACACCCGCCCCCCTCAGGGTCTTTTTAAACAGTTTTATTAAGATAGAATTCAAATAGCATACAATTCACCATATAAAAGTATACAATTCAATGGTTTTTAATATATTCACAGATATGTCAACCATCACCACACTCAGTTTTGAAATATTTTCAAAAAGAAACCCTGTATGCCTTAGCTATATCCTCTCTGTCCCCTCATCTTCCCCACAGCACCCCCACAGCCCTAAGCAAACACTAATCAACTTTCGATCTCTGCGGACTTTCCCATTCTAGACCTTGAATGTGAATGAACGCATAGAGTATGAAGTCTTTTGTGACTGGCTTCCTCCAATTGGGTCCTCCATCACGAGGTAATCCCAAGGAAGAGCTGGTGAATCTCTCACGAGGATCACCCTTGTCATGGCATGAATAGCATGTATCAGTCCTTCATTCTTTTCTATGGCTGCATAACATTCTATCACTTGGCTATACCACATCAGTGGGACACCTGGGTTGTTCCCACCTTTTGGCTATTATGAATAATGCTGCTATGAGCACTCATGCACCAGTTTCTGGATATACTCTTTTGTGTCTCTTGGGTACACACCTAGACGTGGAGTTGCTGCTAACTCTTGTGTTCAATTATTTAAGGAGCAGCCAGGCTGTTTTTCAAAGTGGCTGTACCATTTTCCATTCCCAACAGCAGTGAATGAGGGTTCCCATTTCTCCACATCCTCTCCATTTCTTGCTACCACCCGGCTTTTTGATTCTAGTCACCCTAGTGGGTGTGAAGTGGAATCTCACTGTGGTGTTGATTTGCTGATTTGTTGATGATTAACAATGTTAAGAATCTTTTCATGTGCTCCTTGGTGCCTTTTTTCCCCCTTTTACGAAAGGTTTTTTATTTTGTAATAATTTTAGGGTTAGAGAAAAGATGCAAAAATTGTACAAAACTCTCATATACCCTAGGCCCGGATACCTCAAAGATTAAGCGCACGTGCTTAATCATTCTCCATCTCTGAAACGTTTGAGTAAGTTACAGAAGGCCCGTGACTGCTAAATACTTCAGTGTGTCTTTCCTTAAAACAAAACAAAACAAAACAAAACACCAACTTTCTCTTATGCAACCACAGTAAAATGATCAAAATCAGAAAATCAACACTGACTCAATACTATTGTTCACTGAATTTATTCAATTTTGCCAAATTCCTGGATATTGTCATTTTTTAAAAAGCTTTTTTGAAGATGATTCTAATAGATTCCAGGGAACTCTGTCACCCCCTCTCGCTGAAGCAGACCGTGAAAGCTAGGAAGACCGCCTGCCCCGAGGCCACCAGCAATTTGGGGCGGTTTTCAGGATGCCTCAACCCCTGGGGCAACTTTGTGTGACTTGGGAAAAGATGCCTCTCCCGGAGCTGAACCAGATGCACAGCCAGCCTGCACGGGGACAGCACCCTGGTCACTGTGTCATGCTCCCTGCACCTGGCACAGGGCACATTCTCCATCCAGGACTGGCTGTAGCTGGAGAGGAGAAGGAGGAGGACGGGAGAGCCGGGGCTCCTGAGGGCCCGGGACAGTGAGTCTGTTCTGTTTAGTTGGATGTCCGCCCTTCATTTCCGCCCTTGGAGAGTCTGTGCTTGACATCTGAGGGCGAGGGTGGGGGGAGCTGGTTACAAGCAGAGGGGCAAACTCTTTCCATGTTGCACAACAGGATCCCAGCTGCTAAAATCCTTGTCGATACTGTGTCTTCTCACTCCTTTCAGAACCTGCTTCCAGAGACCACCCCTCTTCTTCGACTCCCCCATCCCTCAGACCAGCTTCTGCCCTGGTCCTGGTGGTCTTTCCAACACACAAATCGGAGCATATCCTGCTCCTGATTAAAACCCTGTATCTAGATGAAGCCCGGGTTCCTTCATATTCAATAAAGCAGAGCAGTGGCTGTCTGTGCTCTGTTCTTCCCTACCCACTGGCCCCTAATTCCCACTCACTTCATAAGACTTACTCCGAGGAAGCCACTCTGAGACCGGTTATTTGCTCCCCCATGGAAGCCTTGCTTCTCCCCCGTGATACCACCTGGAGGGTGTATATGGAGACAGGTTCGCAACCAGAGAAGGATGGGTGAGGGGACACAGATGAATCGACTAGTGCCTTGTTATCCAAAGCGGTGTCTCCAGACACCACTGAAACTTGCTAAAAATGCGAATTCTCAGGGCTACCCCAGACCTGTCCAATCAGACTTAGGGGGTGGAGCTCAGCATCTGCGCTGTTCCCAGCCCTCCAGGTGCACGCTCAGGCTTGAGACACCTGGTCTAGTAACTATGGCCACAGGGAGGTCCAGGCAGGACCAGACCTTCTCTGGTTCATGTAATTCAAAGTACTTGTTCTCTGCATCTGGTAGATCAAGAATGTTAACAAATATTTGCAGTGCACCTACTCTGTGCCAGACAAAGGAAACAGGAAGATGAACTGGTTGGGAGGATGTGACCAGGTTAGGGGAATCCCAAAGCCTGTAGAAGGCCATCTGGGCGGCCCCTCCAGTTGGTGGTGGGGTTTAGGGTAAACACTGATGGAAGCAGAGACCTCAGCCATCAGTGCCTTCTGGTCCAGGTTTTTAAAGTAGACATTGGAAGGGTTGCATAATTCTTTTATATTCTCACAGCTTTACGTATCTTGTGGTTTTCATTAGTTTAAGGATTAAAAAAAACCCAAAAAACACTTGGCAGTATATGTAAGAAAACAACAATTCAAGTTTGCAGAGAAAGAATCTGGGCCTTCTAGGTCAAGCTGGTTGACTTCCAAGCGCCTTAGAGATCCTATTAGTAAATAAACTTAGCAATTAAGCTTTTTAATGCTTTTTGAATTTTGACACTTTGGGGTACTTTAATGCCTATATAACTAGATGGTGAGATAACTCAAAAGTTGAAACCCCCCTTCCCTTTAAACAGTCTTTTCACAAACACCTTTAAAATTCTGGCTCATAATTTCCTTGAGTCAAAGGCAAACAATCTTGCCTAAAAGACAGCATGTTCTGTATGTGGCCTTGTTCACATACAGGTGAAGGGGGGTCAGATCTGGGTGAAAGGGGTCAAAATGTACAAACTTTCAGTTATACGATGAACGAGTCCTGGGGATGTAATGTACAGCATGGTGATTACAGTTAATAATATTGTATTACATATTTGAAAGTTGCTAAGAGAGTAGATCTTGAAAGTTCTCATCACAAGAAAGAAGTGTGTATCTATTCATGATGATAGACATTAACTGGAATTACTGTGGTGATCATTTCATAATATATAAATACCCAATCATTGTGTTGTACACCTTAAACTAATAAAATGGTGTATGTCAATTATACCTCAATCAAATGCACACTTACAAACAATATCATTCGCAGATACACATTGAACCATTAGAATGACTGACAGCAGGACAGAGGTGGGGAGATGGATATGTGAATAAAAGAGAATAAATAAACACATAAAGAAGCAAGAGTGGGAAAATATAAAAAATATGTTTACTCTATCCTCTGCACCTGAGGTCCAAAATAAATACATCAACAAAAATATGAAACATCCTTTAAAAAAGAACTATACATTCAAAAAAAACCTCTTAAATGTTAAAAAAATATTTTCTTTAAAAATAAAAAAAAACCTTTTCTGAAGGCAGGTTTTTTTTTTCCCAATAAGTGTTTTTTCCGACTAATTTCTGAATTATATTTTCCAGGGCACATTTTGTGACTAACCCAAGAGGCAAGCAGGATGCTACCTTCGTTCGCTACATAAAGGTGATGTCATCAACCCACCGTCAGCGGGGTTTGCATTTTGGTTTGTTTTCTGTGATGTGGTGCTGGTTTGTGCTGATTCATCCGAACTCCTCAGCAAGGCACATGAACTTGCCCCAATCTCCCTTCCCATTCTTATTTCCTACCTGTCTAGACAAAGTGGGCTCCTCGCTGCTCTTTAAACAGCCTTGTCATAATTCTGTGCCTTTAGACATACTTCCTGTGCCTTCTTTCCAAGGTCACTTCCTCCATGAAATTTTTTCCAACTTGGCCAGGAAGAGTTAATTACACACAAGTGGCAGGAAACAGAATGACCTGGGTACCAGATCTCACCTCTAACACTGACGAGCTGCATGACCTCAGTAAGTTCCTGGATTTTTCCAAGCCTCAGTTTCCTTATTTAAAAAACAAGTTTGTAATAATAATAATACCTACACTACAGGGTTGTTGTAAGGCTTGTATTTTTAAACTACTGGGAATCTGCCGGTGCTCAGGAAATGCTGGTTCCCATCCTCCCCTCAAAAAAATAAAAAAGTCAAACAATCTTGCCTGAAAGGCAGAATGTTCTACATGTGACCCTGTTCAGCTTTTCATGCTGCTCCTGAATGACAGAAAATCGACAAGCTGTCATTCATTACACTTTGGTGGCTGCCTGTGGATCTATCTGAACTTGGGTCTGTCCAATATTTGGTCACTGAGAGTGGAAAAAATTGGTCATGCACCATGCGCTTTTAATTTTCTAAAGCAAATATATTAGAAAGATCCAATTAGTGCAAACATGGACTGCTGGTCTTTTGCAGTTGATTTACGGGACAGGTTAGTCTAAATTAATGAAAGATCTGAATTATAGGTCCTGAAGGTTTGAAAGGACACAGAGCAGCAGCCCGGTCTAGACCGGTTTTAGGAGGGTCCTTCTTTAATTAATAGACATGAATATTTTGTGATTTGATATTAGAAATGCTAACATTTCTAAAGTGCTTTAGAAGATCTCAAAAATATTTTAAACATCCTCACCATTGGCACTAGTTTTGAAGCAGGGGTTTGCTGGGAAGAGGTCGCTGTGGAAATGAATTAACTATTACAAAGCTAATGGAATCTCTTTCCTTCTTATCCCATTGGGTTAAGCTAACTGCATCTTCAATATAATTCAAAGTGCTCCTTCACCTAAAATCTATATTTAAAACTGCCTGTTACTGAATCCACTTTTTTCAGTCTACCATCCATACTGCAGCATGGTGATTCTGCCAAAACACAGCTCCTTATAAGCCTAGTGGAACTTCTCACCAGCATCAGCGCAAGCCCAAATTCCTTAGGAGGACAGCAGAGCCCTTCACAACCTGGGCCCCCACTCCAGCTGCCTCTCCTGCCCACGGGGACCCCTTTCCTGCCTGGAGGCACGCTGGAATTTCCCCAACACGGTGGACTCATAACATCGACCCCCAGGGAAGTCCTCCCCACCCCCCAAGATGCAGCTCAGTCAGTACCACTCTAACGTCCCGATTTCCCCTCTCCCCAATGCCCCTGCATGTGTTTTCTTATCCTTCTTTCTCCAGTGTAACAGGCGCTGGTTTCATGTAGCTCACGGGGTGCACCTGTGCTGCTATCTACACTTGAATGAATTAAAATGAAAGAAAAATAAAATTCAGTTTCTCAGTCGCACTTGCCACATGTGCAATGCTCAGCAGGCACACATAGTGGCTACCGTTCTGGACAGCACAAGAAGAGAGCATTCCCATCACTGCAGGAAATTCTAGACTTTGAGCTCCTTGGGGGCAGGGGCTCACCACATCTCCAGTGTCCAGCAGAGTGTCTGGCAGATGCTCAAGAAGTTTCTCTTGAACTAAACCAAACTGCACAGACTGTCTTCAGGGAAGCAGGACCAGGGTGTGCCTGTCATCACAGAAGGTGATGGCCTGCTGACTGTGGAGTGGCGGGAGGGGATGGGAGGAAAGGGAGCCAGAACCGGCTCAGAGGTCACCTTTTATCTGGGTGGCCAGGGTTCTGTTACTATGGAGAGGGGGGAAATGGGTACTAGGGGAAACTCAGGGTATCTGGACCCCTGGGACCAGAGGACAGCCTGGTTTGAGGGCAGCTTGGATGAGAGCATGGAGCACTTTGGATGTCAAGATAAGAAGTCTGGACTTCGTTTGAGTGGGACTGAGAGAAATCAGGGCGTAGGAGAGTGTGAAGACTGGAAGAAGAGTCAGAGAAGAGTATTACTCGAGGAACTGAGCTTCCAGTCCTGTGGATTAGGAAAGGCAGTAGGGGCCCCCAGCCATTCAGGGTCCTTCCTGCAGTCAGGAGGCCCCACGTGGGAGATCTTTCTCCTTTTGGGAAGCACAGGCATGTCTGTTCTGTTCCAGTGCAGAAGCCCCATTTCCTAACCCAGGCTTTGGCAACCATGGTGTTTCATTGTTCATTATTCATGAATAGACTTGACTTTGTTCAAAATTAAAGCTTACAAGCTGTAAATCTGGGCCACAGAGAGGATGGCAGGGAACTTGCCTGTGTGGCTTCAGAACTGCCCCCTTTTCTTTGGAAAAATCCTCTCTAGGAATCTGTGCCCAGACCCAGTGAGTGAGAAATGACTTTTCATGGTGTATTAAAAAAAAAGCATCTTTTAAGAAACTGTCTTTATGAATGGCATCAGAGTTTGGGAGAAATGAAAGAGAGAAAGAGTAACCCTTTCAGATCAAAAGCATTATTTCTAGATACGGAGATGTTAGGACAAAGGGAAGGTCAGTGATGAGCCCATGATGCCAGGTTTCACCTGATTTATTCTGTGTCCTTTCAAATGTGCCCTCTCATGGACACACAATGGCACACACACAACATCCTCTGTGGACTGTTCAGGGCTCCCATAATCCTTCTAGAGGGATTTTAATTTTTTAACTCAGCATCCATGGACTTGTTGGGACCCCATCGGTCAAGTGGTCTCCTCGGTGATCTGTGTTATCTTCAGAGCGGGGAGGTGAGCTGCACTCACACCTGGGAGATGATCATGATGTGATCATGGTCCTTCTAAAATCTTGGGCATTTCCAATCCTGCTTCTCAGGTACTGCTCCGTCTTCCATTCTTCCCTCCATCGACTCCTCCAAATGGAATCACCAGCATGGCTTTCAACGGCAGGGAGGTACATCTTGCTTCCCTGGTAGAACTGCTGTGTGGTGTCTACAGCTTGCACTTCTGATCATCACAGTCAAACACCTCTTCTAGGCTGTGAACCATCACAGGAGTGATTCTATTGCCAAAAACACACTTAGGTCAGTTGCTCCAGGGAGACCCGCAGTCACTGCCATTTTCTTGGTGAAGGTCCCTGAGGGCCTTACACAACTTGCAGAAAGTCACAGAATTAAGGACCGGAAGTGGGATCTGGGATCCAAGCCCATCAGATGACATGGTTCCTGCCTCCTTCACTAGGTCACGCTAACTCACACTGGAGGGGAGGAAGGGCGTTTCAGGTAGAGAGGAGAGCATGAGCAAGGCACAGAAACTTTAAACAGGAAGGTATGCTCCAGAAAATGCAAGTTATTCAGCGCTGGGGGAGTAAAGAGTGTGCGGTGGGGGGATGGGATGGAGAACGGGGCAAGGGAGTGATGGGGACTCAGTGGGATCCTCAGGGACTTATTCTCTGACAAGGAAGGAGCTTGGATAAGCTGTGGTCACATTTTGTTTTGAATCGGTTAGTTCACTCTGCAGTCTGGCCACTTGGCTGGAGGGTGGAGAATGGGAGCTTGCAGACAGAATTTAGAAGGTGTCCTGGCTCCATCCCTCTTAACTTGTGGTGTGACTCTGGGCAGTCACTTATCCTTTCTGGCCCTCAGTGTTGTCATCTGTCAAATATGAGTACTGGGATGAAAAGAAGTTTTCACCACTTTATTCACCACCTCAGGCCCCGTTGATCTCATCTGCCCGCTGGACTGCAGTGGGGAAAGTGTTTATCTCCTGAAGGGACTTTGCTAATTATTCCCCTCACCCAGTCCACCCCCTTTTGGGGTGATCACAGCTAGCCAGGCACTCAGAGCCTCTCATCAGCAGCGGTATTGCCCTCATCAGTATCTGGCTAAGTGAATTGTGGGTGAAGGCCTCACTTCCCACAGGGATGAGGTTCTGGCTTTAGGAAATACTGCCATGGGGTCTAGGGATCCCGATTGGGGACTCCAACGTCTTTGTCATGCCCCAGGCTGCTGGAACTCCTTCTTCAGGGATCTTGGTCCCAGGGATGCCTCTGGACCCTGGATGCTAACTTACCTCACATTGGGAGGTGCTCTGTGTGTGTGGGGGGGTTATACATATTTGGATTTTACTTTTATACTGTTTTTGTTGGAAAAGTACCACGTGCGCAAATACAGAAGAATGGTGAAAAGTCACTAAGCGTCTAGCGCCCCTCCCCACCAAGGGCGGCAGTCTCAGCCCAATTGTACCCACCCGCCCTTGGGAGCCTCTGCCCGGCCTGGCCCAAGGCTGCGCGAGCCCGCCTCTTTCTGGGCCCTCCGACGCAAGCTTTGCCCGTCTGCTCGGTGTTGGTTTGGAGGCCGCCACAGGCCTGGCACAGCCTGGGCATGGGGACCCATCTCCAGGGTCGCCACTGCTCCTCCTGGGGACGCCGAGACTGGCATCTGTCCCAAATGATGCACTGAGGTCTCTCAAGTGCAAGATCAAAGGCGAACTCTTCCATTTAATAACAACAATGTATTGAGAAAATCATGCACGTGGTGAAAAATTCAAACACTACAACGCCCCTCTCCCACCCAAGAATCCCCCGCCGAGTCCGCGCATTATCAGCTTCTCGCGTTTCCTTCCGGAGCTGTTCCGTGCATGTACAAGCACGCATCCCACCCATAACAACTTTTCAAAAGAATCTCATTCTGAAGATTATATTCTAATTACTTCTGCTCTTCTCTTTCTTTCACTTAACGGTGGGTTTGGGCGCTGGCTTTCTGCCAGGTCCACGGGCCCCGCCTTCCTTGTACAGCTGCACAGGGTCCACGGTCACGGTCTCGCGTGCCGAGCACTGGGGTCAGTTCCAGAGAGGTGCTCGTCCTCCTTCTCTGGAGCGCGTGACCGGGGCGAGCGGTGTCACCGCCGCCCGGGGTCTGGGCCACGGCCCCTCCCGCGGCCGGGGCGGGTCCCCAACTCGCCACTTTGCGGGAACTTTCCCGGGCGCTCGCGCGCGGGGCCGCCGCCGGTTCCCCTGTGTAGAGCCTCTTTTTCGTTTTAAGGTCGCGAGTCGCGGGGAGGGAAACCGCGAAAGGAGGCTACGTGGGAAGCGCAGACCGGGAAACCGAGCCCCGAGAGCCGGCTGACCCACCCGCGCGCCGCCCCGCCCGCGCCCACGAGCCGCGCCGTGCCCAGGCGTGCCCGCCCTGCCCCCGCCGCGGGCGGTCCCCGCTCCAGCCGCCCGCCCGCCCTCCCGCCATCCGGCCGGCCCCCCTCCCGGGCGCCGTGCCCGTCCCCAAGGCGGCTCGTCACCGCCGCGAGGCCAATGGGCTGGGCCGCGCGGCCGCGCGCACTCGCACCCGCTCGCTCCGAGTCCCTCCCGCGCTCTCCCCGGCGCTGCTCTCCGGCCCTCGCCCAGCCCGCCGCCGCCGCCGCCGTCGGAGCCGCCATGCAGCCCCCGCGCGCCTCGTTCCTCCCGCTGCTGCTGCTGCTGCTCGCGGCGCCCGGCTCCGCGCTGCCTCCTCGGTCCGGCCGCTCGGCGCCCGGCGCCGCCGGGTGTCCGGAGCGCTGCGAGCCCTCGCGCTGCGCCC